ATAACCAGTCACTTAAAAGGAATGTACTATTGATCCCACCTTACAAAATAACAAGCATCAGATAACAGGGGTCTTAAGGACAATGTGTATGTGTGCTGAGGCACGTACACCCCATGAGGTGTTCACGTGAACCCAGCATGATTTCGACCGGGTGATCTAATGTCCGCACCATGATTGGACGAACATCAGTATAAGAGTTCCGATAACTTTGTGTTATCATCCCGGGTCGCGGAGACAAGGATACGGGAGATGGGGCCATCCCGGGCTGCGGAGACAAGGATACGGGAGATGGGGCCATCCCGGGCTGCGGAGACAAGGGTACGGGAGATGGAAGACTGAGAGCTAGAAACACTAAGACTGAGGATATCAGATGGACGATTGAAAGCTGTAAGCAAGAAGACTGAAAGCATGACGAATCAAGCTTGTGTGTTGTAAAGATACAGTGTTGAACTCGAGATATCTACGGTGGTATTATTCTGTTATAAGATCTGTTGATTGTACCGGCCTTTGGTCTGACCCATCGGGATATTGGGGAATAACGAACGAATAATAATAAAACAGTCTGATATCTGGTTAAATGAATTAGACTTTAATTGCTTTAGTCATTGTTTCCTTACAGATTTGGCTGATTTTATTTTCTAACAATTTGGAATTCGGCAGGATACTCTGAATTAATACACTCGGCAGTTGACGTGTGTATGAGTCCGGTACGACCATAACTAGTAAATAGTTGGGACGGTGGCCGTGGTACTCGCAGAAATTATGTGTCCGGTACGATCGTAACTAGTAGATAGTTGGGACAATGGCCGTGCCTGCGGGCAATTAACCGAGTGTATTAACCCATTGGAATTCTGAGTATTAAAGAACCAATATAATCCATTTGAGCGAGTGTCTCTTATTTGGATTTTCTAACAATCTTTAGTAAGTTATGCTACAGAACAAAATAGCTACATTGTTATTTATATTGGATATTTTATATCAATCTGTTCTAAAATACATTTATTTGATGATATTTGTATATAGGCTGAAAATTGTATGGATATAAGATGGTCACACCATCCGTCAGTAAAAAGCTTTTACAAATTGCCTTGCGCTTCTGGTATTTTCAAAACAAAACAAACTAATTTGTATTCCTATTTAAAAGCACCTTGCAAGTGAGTCACCTGGGTTCAATTCCAGGCAGGGCGAAACCTTGGGCAAGTTTCCTTACTCCACACGCCTAATAATAATCCCTCCAAAACAAAACAATAATAAATTGGTCATTTTTAATCCACGACGTTTGTGGGACGTTGCTGTGTGCAATTGGCTGCCGTGTTTCACCCACAACTATAGCCAATTCACTTTACATTAGATTCTGTGAAGTGCTTTGAGACATCTAGAAGACGTGAAAAGTGCTATATCAAATGCAAGGATTAATATTATTTATGATTATTATTATCTGCAAGAACAACATTGAAAAATAGTCACTCTAGTGACTGCTAAACTTGATCTGACCAGGAAGACTGATGGCACTAGCAAAAGGAACTTTGTATTACTAATTTCACTTTCTCAAAATTTGTGTTCCATATTATGTTCCAGTACATCACAAAATGTGAGACACCTTCTCATTCTGATGACAAAAGTGAACTCTGGTAGTAATAGATACAATCCCAAACAAGCAAACTTGGAACCTAAGGCCAGGATACTAAATTGTACAGCAAAGATCTAAACAAAATACAAATGAGAAATGAAAATAAAAGTATTACAAGCTGTAACAGAACCTTGGGGTTCTTATTATTTTATAAACTACTCAAGCTTCACGCTTGAGATTTGCGATCGCAAAAGAACCCTCATCTGTATTTACAGCTTTGTACTCCCAGATAATTGTTATTCTGCATTCAAATAAGTACAGAGAATGCACATATGTGTTTTATTCAATATGATGTAAATGGTGTGTTTAATTTGGGGAAACAAATAAATTGATAAATATGACTAAGTCGGAATTTATGTTTCCACTGGTTTTTCAATTACGTTATCAAAAAAAATGACTCATTTATTATTCCACTCAAGGAATGGCAGCAAATTGGGACCAGGAAAATATTTTTAAATTTTTTTTCAGTAAATTAACACAACTATGCAACATGTGTATAAAATAAATGACACTGTTTTTTGCTGCAGTCAACAATAAAGTGAAACATTCATTGTATAGTGGCTAGACTTGTGTTCAGAAACATAATCAATTTGTTAAATCAATGATGTGTTTTTCATGTTAGCAGAACATTGTATTTACTATCAGGAGATAAGTTTACAGTTGCACAATTTCTCGTGTTTTTCAATAAAAATAGATTAACTGAAATGAAAAATTTCTTTATTGCAACTAATTTTAACTCAATATAGTTTGGTAGATTGATAGAGCAACAAAAGCCTACTGTAGGTGATTTCTCTTTTTGGCTCTGTTATTGAGTTACAAATCTGATAAATGTGTTAATCTTGATGAAAAAGTATTCATGTGAACAACCAAAATATTAAATGAAGTATAGTAAACATGAACGCATTTATATAGCGCCCTTTATGAGGGTTAGTGTCTCAGAGTGCTTAGCTTTGTTCAATATCTGTACATGTGGAGTCCTGTAGCTCAGTGGTTAGAGCACTCGCCTCGCAAGCGAGACACCCGGGTTTGATTCCCAGCAGGACGAAATGTTGGGCAAGTTTCTTTACTCCACACACCTCTGTTTACCTAGCAGGAAGTAAGAACCCGGTTGTTAGTCGATTGGAGGATCGCTTTTCCGGGGGTAATAATTCCTTCAAAAAAATAATAATAATTTGGTCACTCAATCCACGATGGGATGTGGGTAACACACCGTCCTTTCCTCTCTGGAACCTGTGTATGTATTGAGTTTACATTTAGAGCAGGAGTACATGAAAGAAACTCAGGCAGACTCAGAAGTTCAAAAGGCAAAATGGAAAATGCCCTGCAGTTCATTATTAAATGAAAAGGCTTGTTTACAAAGACCACAGGTCAGGTATATTTTCAGAGCAGACTGTTAATCTCAAAGCATATACTGGTTGATTTTACTTCACACCATTCTTTAAGTTAAGGGAAATCATGACAAATATGCCATTTCTTTTGAGTTCTGTGAAATCTGCAGTTTTAATTGAAATATCGTAGTACTGGAGATCTCAGCATTGTGATAGCTTTTGTTCCAAGAGCAGTAGTGGTTATGGAGGGGAAACACTGTTAGTTGGAGTGAATTGCTGGCAAGCTGTTGTCAGAGACGTGTCACTGAATTATTGGAAATCTGTGTTATTGCCATGGAATTTACACTTCTTAAAAAGAAATTCTTGCAGCAACATCTATTGAATATGCTAGTTTCCTTCTCATTTCCTTTTGCTATTTTCTACCAGTATTGTCTTCACTGACAAGGACTTCCATTCATGTTATCTTTGTTACACAAGCAAAGGTAAAATTCAACCAGATTAAATCAACCAGAATATTCTCCAAATGGTGCCTTCTGGTAGCATTAAACTCTACAGAATTGGACAACAAACACTATTTGTAATGCCAGCCAGCACAAATCACCTGCAGCAAAGCAAGTGAATTTAAAGCTTATTATTTGTGATGCAGTAGGACATTCATTGTCGGCATAGGTGATTTGCGCTGGCTGGCAATACAATGGCAACTCTTACATAAATGCAACTTGTTGCTGTAATGACAGCCAGCACAAATCATGGTATTTTGACAATGAGTGCGCTTGCTACATGGCAAGCTTTAAACTCATCCTGAAATGGTGTGACCTCGCCCTGTTAAAACTAGTTAAAACTCCAAGTTCATTTTGTAGCATTTAAAATGTTTTAAACTGCACAACCAGCAATTCATTCTTATAACTTTACATACTTTAAAACAAAACAACTTATCATGATAATAACATGGCTGTTTATGGAATACTGCTGTGCACAAGATGGTTGTTGTAAAGTTTGTAAAGTCATAATTGTTGATTGTGAATTGCTGTTAATAATTAGAATGATATTTAACGCTCTTTTATTTAGCTATTTAAGCAAGATGGTGAATACTGAATTAAAACAATTTTGTGCTAAAAATGTTTGCTTTTAACAATATCAACAGAAACAAAGTAAATTTTAAGTTAGGTAGAAGCATTTAAGTTAGATAGTAATATTTGCTTTAATAACAGTTTATGAACCATTTAAATTTAGATTACAAGTACAAATTTCTCTGTTATTTCCCTAATTCAGACATAGTGTATCTGGCAGTCCAAACTATGTTTAGGGAAGCTATCCAATCTAGAAATAATCTACACTTCAATAATTTACTACAATCCAACCATTCTGACAGATGTTCTGAATCATTTGTCGACTGGATGTGAAGGAATGAAGTCTTTAAATAAGGTATCATTGGATGCAATAACTTACTTCATGCTCCAGGTTCAGGTAATTATCACTGGTTATTTATTTTGATCTGAACAACTGTAACAGAAAACATTCTACAAATGTTTGGTACACGCAACAACAATAATTTTATTTTTTTCAATATTTTACAGTAAAACTGCACTTCTCAAATGAACAATTCGACCTTTTTGTCCCGAATGCACGAATCAGCAGAAATGGCACACGTGTGCTGAAATTTTAAATCGCTGAAAGCAATCTTAGATCAGACACCAGGAATGTCAGGATAAATCGACAGTTGGAACGGTTATCAGAAAGGATGATAGCGATTACGATGTTGAAATCATTTAAGAAGCAATTTGATTCTGCAATTGCAGCACGGTAGGTTTGGTATTGGAAGTGAGGATACAGTAATATTTACGTACGTTTATGACCGCCTGCTGACCCGAGAAGGTCAGTAAAGGTACCGATGTGTGAAGCTTGAATAAATTCAGTTAAGAATTTTGTTCAAGAATGGGAACAAGATTTCTTTGAAAAAAATACGTAAATTAGCTACTTGTATTATTCCAGATTAGAAATTGTACATGAATTTTCAGGTTAGAAATTATGTATGAACTTACCAAGGTGATCCAGGGACAGGAGTAGAAGCCACTGGTTTGTTCTGGCGACATATTGCTTCTTCTATGTTCATTTTTTTCTTTGAATTATTCTGAATTAAAAAAATGGAACATTAGCATTCTGGTAATCCAACAACTTTTTTTTATTTATCAAGCTGTTTCTCAGGTACCAGCCAAAGAATAAATTATGGACATGAATCTCAGAACATGATCTCCTTAACAGCTTTTCAGTGTCTGGAAATCCTTTGCCTAGTGAGTAGACCTTCAAGTCTGTCCATATAAAATGTTGTGTTGAAGTTCATGTGCTAGTGCCAGTTGCAGTACTGTCTGATGCCTCATACCTCTTCTATAATAATGATTCTCTTCTAAAATAATGCTGCCATTTTAGTATTTTGATGGTAAGTTTGACTCAATTAAAATATATATATATATATATAATTACAATATGAGGTAAAATAACAACTTGGAAGTCTCAGTAGACTTGAATTTTGAAATGAGTGATTATTTTGTGAGAACTGGAACTGTAGATTTTATGTGCATCTTAAATCTGTCAGCTGTTATTTGATTGTCCTCACAGCAGATATTTTCTTTTAATTGCCAAACTCTTTAAGATGGCTCGGTCACCACCATCATCAGGTCAATCTATAACGTTTGTATCCTGGCATTCAAATCCAACTTATTGCTAGCATCAACAATGTGTTTAATTTAAGTATTTAATATTCATGCATATCTTAATGCAGTGCTGCTTAGAAGCCTACTTTTTATGGACTGAAGCAGGTTAGTTGGTTTAAAATATCCAATGGCTTTGACATTGCTATTGATGTACAGATATGAACAGAATAAAAATAAAAACAAACCTCTTCTCCATGTTCACTTGACACTGTTTTCTCTGTTGAAAGAACTTTGGAAACTCCAGTGCAGATAGGTTTGCTTGACTGTATTCCTTTATCTATAAGATGAACAAAATACTTTTTGTGTTTGGAAATCTTAAGAGCAGCATGTGTTAATACACGTTTTCAAATGTAAAAGGTGCAGCTTTGAATATTTGCTTTACTTCTTTTGGTTATTCATGATGTTCCAGTTTGACTAAATGGTCTATTAACTATCCATGTTCACATTATGGGGTCAACCTGATGTAATCTTAAATACATCCAGTCCTTGTTTTAAGGAACAAGATTAAAATGTATTTTGAAATCTGCCCCACCCTGATGTCTGAATAAGGGTAGCTGCAAACTCACCTGTGAAATTGCTGCAGATGCTTACTATTGGGGAATCCTTTCTGTAAAGTTTAATTTACTCATCGATTGAAAAAAGTGCAACTGTTTTGTCAGTCATGAAATGCATATACATTTTTACAAAAAATACTTAATAACCTTGATATGTATGAGTTGCAAACAAAGTCAGCAACAGGCCCAGCAGGAGATGAATTCTGACACTATTATCAGATGACGATACTAAAAGACTTGATTTTGATTCTCTCTTGTGACAAGTTCACTACCATGAATCAAAATGGAACTGAACAAAATGAATGGTAGTATAATCAAATCAAATTACTGTAATTTAGCTCTTCAACTTGCTAATTAATGAGCTTCAGTTTTAATTCATCACAACGCTTTACAAGTAACAGCAAAATATTGGAACTAATTTCATTTTAAATAAACATTTTACATCAACACTGAATGACTTCAAGGTCCTGTAGTTATGAATCTTGTACTTTTTATTTAAATATATATTCTGCCAATAAACAAACATTCTCTTATTTCCTACACTTATGCTTAAATTTCCACTGAATTACATTCAGTAAGCGAAATTTACCAAAAGTATTTTTGTAGATGCTATATGATATATAAGAAAATTCTTAAACCAACCTTACCTTAAAAAAATGTTGGGGGTTATGTCAAAAATCAGGAAACTTTTTTTATTATTAGATATATATTTTGCAGTATCTAATAATAACATCTGTTGACACGTCTGGTAGATCCAGGGATAAAAAACTGGACTAAGATTTGAATCCCAAGCTTAGCCATCATTTGAAGTTGGCCATTTTCTGTCATTGAATGATATTGTCTCATGGCTTGGGTTACAAGATGGAGTGCCTTGTGCTGACAGTGATGGAGCACTCCACCTTCAGGGAAGCAAAAACAATTGTCATGGAGATCCATCTCACTCTATGAAGCAGACCTTGTCAGCTGATACAGAGGAACACTGATAGTAGATACAGACACGTTTGCAAGTTAGAATATTCTTCACTTGCATCTGAACAAGTCAATGAAGATGGTTGGGTCCTGTATTTTTATTTTGCTTACATCTTCATTTGTTTACAACTATCATTCAACACAAATCCTTGGTGTGATTTTTAGCTCATACACTACTGTTTGTGGCACAATTTCCTTCCCCCTCTATTTTTGGTTTTCAAGATTTATGATTCTGGTGAATTCTTGTTATTATTATGATGATGAATTCCATCCGCCCATTGATGCGAGGAGAACTGGATAGCCAGAGGCAGACATCTGTACAGATTCTTCACACTATACTTATAGCCAAAAGACCTTCTTTTTTGATCGTGCTCCCGGTCACCAACCCCCTCCCTCTGGCTCAGCGTCAGACTACACCACTGGGACGCTGCGCTGCATTAGAGCGCTGTATAAATGCAAGTTGTTGTTGCACTTAATAAAATGATAACCACAATTTTTTNGCCTCAATAATATTGCTTGGTATTATTTCAGATATTTTTTCCCCCAATGGATTTACATGGATGAGGAAAATATAAGCAGGTTATTCAACTTGTGAGAGCAGAACTGGAGACAATTTTGAATGGAAAAACTCATGTACCCATTGAAAATCCTATTGTACAAATATTCCTTAAAACCAAGATATTCAAGAACAAAACAAATCTTCACATTCAACCCTGACTTTCTTTGCTAAAAAGACAGCATTGTATCTCCCCTCCATCCCACCATCAATCCAACCCCAACAGTACAGAAATAATGTGTCCTGTAGAGTATTTGTTCATTTCACTTTGCACTTAACATTGTCCACAACTATTCTCAACATAAAAATCAGAAATTTCATAATTGCCCTTCATTCTAGGTTGGAACATTTAAAACAAATTACGTTTGAATAGCACCTTTCATGTCAGGAGATGTATAAATTTAGTAATCATAATTAGCTTTGTAGATGTTAAAATAATATTGTTTTCCCTAATAGATATTAAATTATATTATTTCCCCTCCACCCAACTCCTCCAGTCTCCCTGCTCACACCAGACTATATATGTTCTGTAGTCAAGAAGGCTGTTGCTGAATAGCTGTTCCACTGAGATTCAGGAGAGTGGCTCTATTGGTTTCCCATCTTCCCCGACAGAAAGCATCTGGTGACCATTTGTCAACCCTCTATACTAGTATAACTGTGATTAAAAACCCTTCAATGCAGGGATTGAACCAACAGCTCCCCACCCTCTGCCATGGTGCCACAGCGAATAATCCAAATTGTTTACCACTATTCTCCCTGTAAATGTTATATTACAGGCAAGTTTCAAAAGTTAGTTTATTCCACAATCGGAGGGCTAAAATAATACGTTAACATAAGTAAATCACGTGTTTTATAATTGCAATCCTATTGTAGGTTAATTGAAAGTCGTTGACATCTTACTTCGCACACAGGATTAAAAGATTAGAAACAAGCATACAAATACTGAAATACTTAATTTGGTTGCTATCAAACATGGTTTGTTCCAAGTGTGCTTTTACATTTAAAACAGAAGATTGAGACTGGATCAGTAATGCACCACTGAACAACGTTTTTTTCCAAATGACAATTAAAAACAGAATCTAAACACAGAATATTTGGCACTCACAACACATTCATTATATCTCAAATACTCTCCCACGTTAAACATGATTTAAAAAAAACCCACAGGATTTAATTTGCTTCAGCCCTCAATCTTCAAGAATAGATAAATTCAGTGCAATTCTATTTCATAAGTGCTGGTTCTAATCTAATGTGTCCTGTTTACAATGAAATCATAGGCAATGTTAGGCACATGGTCAATGCTTGAAACTTCTGGCCACCACATGTATGGTAGCAACCAGGGAACAAAATATCAAATTTAATTTCCCACAGTGAACTTATCAGCCCCTAGGTACATCAAATGTTTTCAGGAGGCTTTCCATCAGCACATGGCCAGCCATCTTGCACAAAATGAAATGACTTGCCATTTATAAAGCAAATCATGAAACATTTACAAAGTTTAGAGATTGTTGCATGAGAGACCCAATAGACTAAGCACTTGAGTACTTCTGGACATTTTCTTACAAGTGCAAATTGTTGAAGCAGTCTCTCTTGCACTGATTCAGATGTGCCATGTAATATTTAAGGAAAGATTTTTTGGAACAGACTCAGCCAACCTTAAAAGCTCCCTCCCACACCCAGTAAATCATATCAGCTGTTGGATCACACTATATTCTTCATTCATCTTTCATGCTATTTTGAAACTTCCAGCAATAAGTTTTTGATCACAAATAATGTATATAAAATAATAGGAAACATCTAAGTCTATGAATGGATCATTGTGAAACTGCATGGAAAAATATTGAGTTGACAATGATGTATTTTTTTTAAATCATGTCTTCACTGGGTTAAGTCTCTTGAATGGCTCATCAGATACTTTTTCTCCCTTTGGCCAAAGTGGGAAAGGCATCACAAAGCAGGGATACCATCTGCCAATCCCTGGACTTCACTCAGCTGAAACAAATAAAATAGCTGTCACAGTGCAGCCTGACTGCTCAATAACATATTTACAGTAATTTGTTTCATTTTTGCCTTTGATGAAGAGATTCGCATTCTGAGCTGGAGTAGATTTATAGCTACGTTTGTTGCCATTTACTATGTAGGAAATTCAATCTGGGCGCTGTCTCACTCATCCATTTAACACAAAAACACAATGTGATGGAAATGTATGCTATTCTAAGCAAACTTGCATTCATGTAGCTCCTTAAAAGAAATCTCAAAGCACACGACAAACATAGTGGTTCACACTGAGCAAGGAACAGACAGATTTAAAGATGTTAACCAAAGCCACGATCAAAGAGATATATTGTTCAGAGGTTTTTGAAAGAAAAGAGAAAGTCATGAAGAGTAGTTATAGAAGTGGGTACCAGAGGACAGGGCAATGGCAATTGAAGGCTTGCCAACAAATGCTGAAAGAAAGCAAATGGAGATTGAGCAATAAATAGATCTGATTCAGAAGAGCATGGACCACTGTAATATTGGGCTGCAGCAGACTGAAGGGAGACTGAGGCAAGAAAGTAGAGGGATTTTGAAAGGCAAGGATCTTAATTTTATCTTTTCAGATAGTGTGAGCCAATGGAGCTTGGTGAGTAAAGAAGGATAGGTGTACAGAGCCTTGTTTGAGAAAATGTGAGCTGCAGAGTTTTGGATCAGCTTAGTGGGTGAAGGTGGAATAGCTAGGAAGAAAACATTAGAAAATGTATGAACAAATTGACAATAGGGGCTAAGAATTATTTTAAGGTAAATCGTAGAATTAAAAGTCTGTGAGGAACTGGACATTTCGTAATTCTATTTCTAAAGATTAATCAATTGAATTGATTCAATTGAAAACATCCAGAATTTAGGACTTTATTTTCAACTTACTTTAGTATTTCTAACAGTTTGCAGTCTAATAGACTGCCAAGCAAAGAAAAACATTCTTGGACCATTCTTTGACTTTAGCACCACATATGGGGTCTCACAGAGATAAACGCTCAACACCAGTACACAGACTAACTCGGGTGCTGGCAACATCAGCATCATGACTGCAGACTCAATCTCACTAAGCCAGTCAGGAATCTGGGTGTCTTGTTTGACCTATCCTTTCTCCCCCACATCCGCGCCATGACTGGCACTGCCTACCACCACCTACGCAACATTGTCAGACTCCGCCACTGCCTC